GTTATGGTATATACTAATTTAGTAAATGCTTTGAGTTCGTGATGATCAATAAGAAGAACTGGTGCATATAAAATATGGTAGCTACACTTGCTAAAATCTGAAGATGTAGCAATAACTAATCCATTGAAAATGTCTTCCCAGCCACAATCAAGTATACGATACAAAGCTCTTATAAAAGAGCAACAAATTCGGATGAATACTTCATTGGACTTAACTCCAGTTATTTTCATATCTTCCTCTAAAGCATCTATGTCAATTACGGCTCTTAAAGGTTTTTGACCATTAATACATTCATGAATCCCAGGCAAAGCATATACTTCTGAAATGTCATCTGCAACAGAAAACTTTGGAGCTCGATCATCTTGGTCAATTTTGATGACTAATTTATTTTCTACTTCATCACGGTCATAAGCATTATATAAACTAGACCCTTTTTCATTCGGAAAGAGGAATGAATAGATTGGAAGATCATCCAAAGAACCTATGATGTCTAACATATCTCTAGGTGGTGATAAGGTAATTTCTCGAAGGACATTTAGCAAATCTTTAGAGGAAAAATTATCATTGAACTTTTCCTACCTTAAAGTATATGTCATAGTAGACTTTCGTTCTTTTACATTTGGTAGCTGGACTAATGGAGTCTCGGTAATGCTGGTTGAAACGCTGTGAGCTTTTTCATTATCAGACTCATAATTAGACTCGTAGTTATTATAATTATCTGACCCTAAGTTGGATCCATTATCAGTACAACTGCTAGAGTCACTTAAATATTCATCGAACTCAGCGCCGTCATAGTGGGTGAGCGTTGGGCCAGATCCAGTGCGATCAGTTTGGTCAAAAATAGTTGAGGTACGCATGATGACAGTAGGTAAAGTTATTATATCACAATATATTTCTGAAATGTTTAATTAATTTTTTCGTCCTTCAAAAAAAGAAGATGTATAGTAGTCTAGTAAGCAAATTGTAAATAAAAGGAAAACAGATATGTATCTGAAAATGAAGCCTTCTGCGTAATTATATTATATAAAAATGGCAGAAGGCTTCATCTAAACTTAGTGAGCAAATCATGAAAGAAGGTGATCTGTTATACAACAGAAAAGTGTAGTCTTCTGCATAATCTATTATATAAAAATGGCAGAAGACTACACTTTCTAGATATGTACTTGATATGGTATAGCATTCGCGTAAGACTTATTCGCTTAATTTT